CCCTTGCAGAGATTTATATTTAGCGCATTTAGCGCAAGTACTTTTTTTTACAAAAAATACAAACGCTAGACATACTCTGTGAATATAGATATAGTTTAGAGTGCGTTATAATCGGAACCTTGCAGAGATTTAAATTTGAGGTATTTAGCGCAAGTACTTTTTTTTACAAAAAATACAAACGCTAGACATACTCTGTGAATATAGATATAGTTTAGAGTGCGTATATTTCCCTATAATCGGACCGACGGTCCATGCCATTTGTCCAGGATCAGAAGAAGAGCGTATGGTTCAAGAAGCAACGATACCACTGTGTGTATGAATACCCGAAAGAAACACCACCTGTGGACAGTCAAGCGGATGCTACCACCAATTCAGAACCAACGTTGTACTCTGGTATAGATTGTACATTTTGTGCATACGATAACGAATATTTCGTAAATATTTTCTAAATTGAACATCAGACGAATATCTAGATTTGAATAGAAGTAACGCTTTTTCTTCTATGTTTTAGATTGGGAAGAAATGATCAATGAGCCGCGATTAGACATATATCCTTTAAATTATGACGATGCCAATCATACTGGTAAGTGTGAGTTTAATACGAGATGAGATTTTTGTATGAGATATTACACGTGTATTTTAAAAATGTTTATATGTAACGTATTATACGTATTTATCTTCGTTTTTAGGAAACGATGAGTTTTTCGTCACCAGTTCGAATCGGCCCTTTCAGTTTCAAACAGGCGAGAGTAGGTGCGTCAGCCAATTTTTTCCCGGCGCAAACGCGTCTTTATTGTCCGATGAACGGGATGAAACGGATGGCTGTCGACAGGAGCCGCACCAGAACAACATTGATTTCGCCAACGAATACGAGCAGTGTCAGCAGCATCAATTAGGAGAGTTAAGACATACCAGGGATCGTTTGAAATTAAATCTAGTATCATCGAATAGTATACCGTCCGTCCCGTTCGTTCCTGCAAAACAGTCGCACGCGGAGCAGTTAGACATTAAAGAGAATCACGAATCGGAACTTGAGAACGTCATCGCGCAAGACCAATGTATTCTATCGAGTGACGATAACACGTTACCAAAGGTGCCTCACGAAGATGTCCAAGCTGATTCATCTTCTACAAGAAATTTCCAGCGCGATAGCCGGGAAACGCTGGAGTCCACCGAAAAGTGAAGTGTTTTAATTCGTGACCCACAATGAAACTAAAGTCTATAATGGTGTTTTAAGGGAGAAACAGTTCAGTCCGTCCGAAACAATCTCGTGCAAATGTCTCGTCGATTTTTCTCTTAACGCATCCGATAAAGTTATCACCGATGAGATTACTATCATGTGTGACACGAATCTTGAACAAATGTATATAATACGACGATGTAGCGACTATTACTCCGAAGCTACAGATCAATCGGTTGTCTAGCGGATTTTGTTAGCGCGGAGTTGTTATAGTTATTCTCTATGTATAGTAAATACGGAAAAGGCGTGTCAATATATAGATAATTGCGGTTTTATTGATAAAGCTTCCTATTCGCATGTGATGGTTTAATAATCGTGATAGAACAAACAAGTAACGACAGAGGAGGACTGTGTATAAAAAATGGACAAAAGTATTAACTCTAGACAATCGATCCGTAGAGAAGCTACATCGAAAAATTGCGATAAATAATTCGTTGCACATGTAAATAGTTATTGTTTATAGCGTAATCATTAAACGAACAGTAGTGCCTATGTAGAACGACACGATTATTTTTGCGACTGTCTATAAGAGACATATAACTGTCTTTCGCGTTATCTTTTTTTTTGTTCTTTACCGATACTCATTATCACACGATATTTCTCGATATTAATTAAACATTATTAACAAATCCGCTCTCTATTATCAAAGTATTGTATAGCTGGATATACAGGACATACCATCCCACTCATAAAGACTCTTGCGACAAAGGATGAATCATGGAAAAAAATATACTTGCACAATTAAGTTTCTACAGGATGTATCGATAGATTTTTACTTTTATTAGATCTGTGATGAAAGAAAATACGATGCTTAGATCGGTCCAATTTTATATTAAATTTGAGAAAAAAGAACCGAAAGTACGCGAATTACGTTTGAATTGGAAAATCGCGTATATCGTATTAAAGTGTATATCGTATATTATCGCGTATATCGTATTAAAGAGAATCTGTCAATCATGTTTACTTTTTTTCGAATATATACCGAGATTATGTTACAGAAACATTGCCTTTTCTATGGTAGCATATAACAGAAGTATCTTGAATATTATTTTTACTTTTATGCTAATAAAAATAACTTTATACCAGACTATTTTTCGGTATATTTTTCGCTTCGGTATATATACCGCGTGCGAAAATATACAAGCATTAATAAATCCACAATATGTGGTACATCGTAAAATATATTTCTACAGATCTCTAAAATATATTCGCGGACACGCGATAAATATAAATATACGATCCTATAAATACTATTTTAGAGAGATTTTTACAAGTATTTATTTGCGATAATGTATATCTCATTGTACAATTATTCATACTGAATACGGATAGATCACTGGAATCAGAACGAATCAGAATATTGAAATGTAAGCGTAGTTAAGCGTCGTGGAAATCGTGGTGTTTGTGCCACTATTGTTTCACGAGCGTGATATTGAAAAAGTTATACGAACAAATCACTATTATAATAGCACCGCGAGTACTGTGTCACGTCTCTCGCTATCATCACACTACTATTATTACTATTGATACTGCTTTGTGCTCACTATAAAATGAAATAGAGAACAATTAATATATTGTTATACAGAAAGAAGCATTGTTTATTCAATCGATCCCAAGTGATTTATAAATGTCCTAAAATTTTATATTAATTTTTAATTTTTATTTACACAATATAGAGAGATCGCGATATGTACAAAACTTCGTTTTCCATATCCTAGACAAATCTATACATTTATAAATCGCGTTTTGCAATTACGTAATTTGGGCTTATTACGAAAGTCTTATAACATGATACTTTCATAACTTGTCTTAGAACTTGAACAAATTATTTTTCCTTTTAGTCTGCATGAAAGCTCTGAAGACAGAATGCTTTATAAATGACGTTGATGATTGCGCCACAAAATAATCTGTCCGTCGTGATCTGCGGACGCAAGTAGGGATTCATCATAATTAAAGGATAAAGCTAATGCAGGTGTCGCGTGACCGAGTAGTCGATTGATTCTGGCGGCCTTTCCTTCCCTCGCTGAATCTAGCAAGTGTACGGCCCCGTCCTCTGATCCAGTAGCTATTAAACATGCACCCATTTGTGGACAGAAGGTGGACCTCAACAGATAATGCCTATAAAAATACATGCTAATATACCGTATCGTGTAAAAATATGATACTCGCTTGGATTTCCGCTAGAAAGTTGTAATCAAGGAAATTAAGAAAATTATATATATTGCTTTAAAATAAATTTAAAATAAATGTTGCTCGACATACACCAACGTGTTCAAATATTGATCCATAGGAAAGAATAAAGATAAACACTTAATATTTTGATATCGTGATATAAGTAACAATATATTAAAATAGAAAACGAAGAGTATGTTTTGTACAATAAAATATTACCTATGCTTGATAGGATACTTTCTCCAGAAATATAGAGAACCGTGATTGTCTGCAACACGATACAATAACACGGCGTTGCATGCGCTGCTCACTAACAATGCTGCCCAAGGAGCGTCTTTTGACAGCCAGGAGCGCCAAGAAAGGCTGGTTATCATTCCGCCAGTCTCTTGTACTCGTTGCAACTTTGTCAATCGCCCTACACCAGGTTCCAATCGAAAAGACACTACGACACCTCTATCATTGCCGGCCCAAATCACGGAGCCACCGCTACCCTCGCAGGCAAGAGAAAGAATCTAGAAAATATATTACGCGGTAATTTGTACATATCCTCTTTTTTTTTACAATACTGCCTTTTTCCTTGTGAAATAAAAAACCGACCTTTCCACCTATTTTGCAGGATCCACCACGCATATATATACCGGTAGATACATTCAAGATCTGAATCAGTCCTTGAGAATTACCGGCTACGATGAGATTATTATTGGCGGGTATAAAGTTACAGCATAAGACTTCCGCTCGTTGTTGATCGTTCACCACTCGCAAACAAATAGGCTCTACATCCGCGCATACTCTCCAGAGCCGTATTGTTGTGTCCAAGGAGGAAGAGACTATTAGATCGTTGCTGATGCTCCAATCGAGCGCGGTCACGCCGCCAGAATGACCTTCTAACAAAGCGATGATTTTCGGAGGCGCGCCGATGACTTCGCATATGGACAGCGTACCATCCAACGACGCGCAACACAATTTGGATCTGTCATTGTTGGCGAATTTCAGCATCGTTACGGCCGCTTTATGCTGATCAAAAATATGATGGACACCGGCAAACGCGAAATTCTCCGCTGTTGATTTTCGTTGCACAAAGTGATGCTTCAGTCTGCCTTCTGATAAATCTTCACTAATCGTATGACTTTCCACGCTATTTTGCTCCTGCTGTTTCTCTCCATAACGCCGTCGTAGTAATTCCGACCGCAATTTCAAATATCGCGTGCTGATTTCAGGATCTCTGGAAGGTTTTTCCCGAAGTAGCTGATTTCTTCGACGAATATATAGCATACCTGTAACAGAATATCAAAGGTATTAAATTTAATCAATCATTTCTTAATACATACATGCATGCAAATGAAACATTACGTACCCAGACTGGGGAGCTTGTTAGCTCGTAACGTATTATACTTTGCATCAAGCGCAAAGACCTGTTGATGCCAAGTAGTGGCCATTTTTCGCGATGTGCTAGCTTTGTTGATACTGACTTGTGTTTCTATCATCGATGTACGTTACGTTTCATGATATATACTTGATAAAAGAGGATCTCTTTTTTTAGAAACACGAATATTTTTATCAACTATAAAATTCATTTTATGCATATAATAAAATTCTTTTTCGTCCCCATTTTTATCTGATTAATAAATGTTGCTTATAAATATGTTCTCTTTTTCCAGAAAAAACGGCACTTTATTTTTAGGCGTATATATAACTTCTTTGTTTTAATATCGAGCATTAAAGAAAGTATTATGATTCTTCTCAACAGACATCATTACAACATTCGATTAATCATATCTTCTCAATTTCTTTCAGGTTTTATGTCATGAGGTTATGTCCTCCATCGCTCCAAGGGTGCGTTCCGTTTCACGCATTGAGCGCATAGATCGCCTGGAAATCTATAATATATGTTACATATATTATAGATTTCCAGGCGATCTATGCGCTCAATGCGTGAAACGGAACGCACCCTTGGAGCGATGGAGGACATAACCTCAAAAATAATATTTTCGTAAAATCTACTGCTGTCAAATATTCATAGGCGATATAATACATCAAATATTATTTGTCTATATTTTTTATTTTCAAAAGTTATACCTTGAAAAAGGTCAGGCAGGCATACAATTTGTTTCGAGGCTCCGGTTACCTGGCCAAGTTCCGTTATTCGTGCCGAGCGTTATTCTTTTGAATGTAGGACCTTTACCAACCGTCAACGATACTGAAAAGTGGGGAGAAGAGGGGTAACCAAGCCGTTAAATCATAAGAGCATCTGCGTTAGTTCATTTTTGGCATTTGGAAGAAACAGTTGTGTCTCGAAGTCTTTCTTGTACCTAGCAGTCAGTGAAAACGTTTTGTAGTGATAATGTCTGGAAGTGACGAAATCGCCGGTCCTTCGGTACCAGATTCGGAGAATATTCCAGAAGATTCTCTGCACAGCGAAGCATCAAAGTTGCTATTGAAGGATGCGGTTGTATTTTTCGAACGATTGCTAGCTGAAAACGATTTTATTGCGCCAACATCTTCGACGATAATTTCTCACGATGCTATGCTAATGGGACGGGAAATTTTTGAAAGTACTCTACAAATGCTGGCTGAAAAAGTGCTCATTTCTGACGAGGAACTCATCCACATGAATGAAGAAGTTAACGACGAAGCTTTTGAAGAGGTTGAAGGAGAATATTCATCGGACGAGTACGAACCACCAGAGAAAAAGCCTAGAGAGACAGAGCATTATTCGATAGATTACAAAATAAAATGTATTAACATTGCAAAAGCACATCCTACGTGGAGCCTGAAATCTTTGCAAAGACATGGATGTCATCGTTTGAAAAAAAAAGGAGTATTTAACCCGATGGGAAGAAGAATGTAAAATGGGCGGATCTACATCAGATAAATATTCTATAATAGATTCGTGGACTTACGACCGTTTCGTTGAAGCGAGGCAAAATTTCCAGCAAGTTACGACCCGAAATTTGCAACAATGGGCTTTGGCTGCTGCAGCACAATTTTCAAACTTTGAATTTAAAGCTTCCACTCCTTGGGTGGCGAAATTTAAACAAAAACGCAGAATTCGTCAACGAAAAGTTACAAAATTCGTATCGCGGAAGGAAACTGTAACAATTGAAGAAACCTTGGCTGCAGCAGAAAGTTTCCGGATACAGATCCGAGATTTAATACCTAATTTTGATGAGGACTTCGTTATTAATACTGATCAAACAGGTATGTGAAAAATGAAAAAATCCCGTAACAGCTAATGTCGATTTTAAAAACCCTATAATATAACATTTTTTTAAAATATATCTTGTGTCTTTTTATGGGTTTCCAGGATGCCAATATCAATCTACGTACAACAGAACTCTCACCGATAAAGGAAGCAAGACTGTGTTCGTAAAGAGGCTGGACATGAACAAAGTAACTCATTCGTATACGGCACAATATGGCATCACTCTTTCTGGACGAGTGTTGCCCCGTGTGTTTGTATGCCTGCAGGAGGTAACAAACAAATTTGGACCCAGGATTCAGAAGATGATCGATGAATACGCCAAAAAATTTGAGTCAAGACTCATCGCTGAGCGGCTACGGGCGCCAATTTTCAATCGTTATGATTTGGACCGCTCTGGAGACGTGCTGGGGATTTCGTCTCTCCGTGACAATCGGCACTGCATCCATTGAGCGAGATTCCAACATCGCTCTGGAGTCGTATGTACTGTGTTAGAGTGGCGTAAGGTGCGAGGTCTGAATAGCTCAGTGGTAAGAGCAGTTGCCCGGAAAGCGAAAGACTCGGGTTCGATTCCCGATTCAGCCACTTGTACCTCGCATATTTTTTCAGACCCGCAAATGTTGTTTTCTAACAATTATTTGTCGGGCTGAGGAAGTGTGTAAACGCCCTACACAGACACGACAGTGCCGCTGCCACGGAAGAGATGGATGCTTGGTTCGTGCCTCCTCCCGCCTTAAATCCCCCCCTCGCTTCACAAACAACGAATGTCATTATCACGTCATCGAAATCGGGGAAGCTGACCACAGATTTGTACAACGACTTTCTTAACAAATCTCTGAAGCCCTACGTCGGTAAAAACAAGTTTCTTCTTCTCGTCGACTCCTGGGGAGGGCAAACAAAACCAGAACTGTACGATGAAACTTTTCAAGACGACAAAAAATTACCTACCTGCACTATAAAAGTAATTCCACCAAAGTGTACTCCTCTAGTACAACCCTGCGACGTTTACTTTTACAGACAGGTGAAAAATTTTATTAAACGCTTACAAAATTCTGCCACTTTGATTGAAAAAGAAAAAGAAATTACTTCCCGCGAAGATTGCATTAAAATCCAATCAATAGTGCACCACCAATTATCATCTCCGATCTTCACTGATATGATACAATACGCCTGGTTCGCCTCGAAATTAACGAACGACAGAACAATTTTCAGAAATGTTAACGAAGTTTGCTTTTCGCTAGACCTTCTCAAAACTCCTTGTACATGTAAGCAACCATCTGGGAATAGACGTTTGAACGCAGGATCGAAAAATACAAGTTTGCACCACGGGTATGTAAATCACCAGACTTCATTAATACATTTATTCTTATATATCCATATTTATACACAGTAGTAGCTATTATTATTATTATTATTATTATTATTATTATTATTATTATTATTATTATTAATTATATAATAGCGATAGTGGCGTAATGCATTTTGCATCCGCATTCAATCGGTTAATATTTGACAAAAATACAAAAATTATTAATGTATAATAATTATATATCAGAACAAACGTGCTTACTCTGAATCTCATCTTTCTTTTTTTTCTGTTTTTTTTTTCTTTAACTTCTTTGCCTCATATTTTGCATCCTCTTTCTCTCTTCTTTTACTTTTTTATTTGTTGCTCACATTGCCGAAATGTCTGTTGTTTTGAATGCTTTTATGATAATTATCATTCGGGTTCTTGTAAATAATAAACAAAAATCGTGGATAAATATAAATACAAATATAATTCCTATTCTTCTTGACTTCATTATTATTCTCCCATACATAATATTTGATGTATTATATCTTTTCTCGGAACTGGCGGCCTATGGGGTCCTATGGCTTGAGCATGGTATGAGTTTCGGGCACTACTATTACCACACAAAGCCTCATCCCGAACTTCATTTCCCAGCCCGTATATTCCCCTTGTATGACTTGAATACACTACACATTCAGCCATATTCAGACTTTTCATATTCTCATACATACACACACATATTATGATACATAAAAATCATGCGCAGTGTAGCAAATTGGACAGACAAATCTCGCGCATGCGTAATAACATAAGCGCTGGCAAACGCCAAAACTTGCGGCAAAGGAATAAAAATATTAAATATATATATGTAATATTAAAATATATATTAAGTTAATATATACACATTAAGTTAATATATGTTTCATATTGTTAGCATAAATTATAAAAAAATATTTATAATTTATATGGGCTCCAACGAAAGAACGATTTGCGTAGCAGATCGATGACATACACATGTGCGCGAGTCTTGTTCAAAATTTGTCTCTCTTTATGCGAGATATAATTAATGCACGGTCGATTCGGGCAAAATAATAATATTTAAATCAAAATAAATAAACAGCTATTTTGAACACTTTACACGACCTTTAACGGTTTACAAAAGGATCTTGTAATCGTGTATTGGGAAAAAAGTTGAATTTGGAAGAATCTTGGGAATAGACGTTTGAACGCAGGATCGAAAAATACAAGTTTGCACCACGGGTATGTAAATCACCAGACTTCATTAATACATTTATTCTTATATATCCATATTTATACACAGTAGTAGCTATTATTATTATTATTATTATTATTATTATTATTATTATTATTATTATTATTATTATTATTATTATTATTATTATTATTATTATTATTATTATTATTATTATTATTATTATTATTATTATTATTATTATTATTATTATTATTATTATTATTATTATTATTATTATTATTATTATTATTATTATTATTATTATTATTAATTATATAATAGCGATAGTGGCGTAATGCATTTTGCATCCGCATTCAATCGGTTAATATTTGACAAAAATACAAAAATTATTAATGTATAATAATTATATATCAGAACAAACGTGCTTACTCTGAATCTCATCTTTCTTTTTTTTCTGTTTTTTTTTTCTTTAACTTCTTTGCCTCATATTTTGCATCCTCTTTCTCTCTTCTTTTACTTTCCATTATACATTACACTTAATATACTGTTTTTTTCTTTTTTTTTTCTATTACCCTAGATTGATTCGAGTATACACGAAAAGTGCGATTGGACTAAAACATACACTAAGACAAAACGAAAACGTTACTTGTGATTCTCCTTCAACTTGGTTTCATCAAGTCGTTTTTTTATTGTGACGCCCGGCTATGTTCGAACGCGTATATTAAAATCAGTTGTTAGTAGTTCACATGATCGTGAAGACTACGGCGAAGACAATGTAGTCGAATGTTTTCTCTTTTTTTTTTTCGAGAGTTGACGAGTATACAGATTTATACTTTTTCTTCTCCGAAAAAAACAAGGAAGCTAAACTACATTTGGTCTTCAAAGTTCTTCAAAACGCATCCTATATACTCATACCGCATTTATACGAGTTTATGTGTGTGTGTGTGTGTGTATTTATATATTTATATATTTATATATATGCAGTCGCTATAACGAGAGTTTACTTACAACTATTTACTTCTCGCTTACATTAGCGGTATCTCGTAAAGCTTTGACGACCGTCTCACAGTCAACCGGTCCATTCGTGCTAGAAGAAACATTATTACTCCTCACGTTTATATTGTACACGCGCAAAACGTAACAATTCTCTCTCACAGCACCTTCGTGAAAACGCTTCACGTACATTCTTCCTTTCGTTCGTGCATTACACATGACTCTTGCTCTTTTACTTTTCTCTCTTCTTTTTTTTTCACCCGCAGGAATATCTGCGATCATTCATTATTCACAATGCAAAAATGTAAAGTATGTTTTCAAAATATGTGTATGTGTGTGTTCCGTTGGTCAATGTATTATATTTCGTTCCGATTAATATGTATACAGGATATTTCCACAATCACTGTACAATATTTTAATAGAGTATTCCGGAAGTAAAATAAAGTCGAAAATAATATGAAAATATCGAAAGTCACAATAATTTTTGAATTAGGAAACAAAATGGATTATATGATATTGCATAGATGATTACACTTATCATCAATTGGTTATCAATAATCATCAGAACTGATATTGATTATGCACAGCTAAGTCTGTTCGTCGCTTCTCACGTGTAAGTATTACGTATACTATGGTAAACAGTTAATGTATATTGACAAATTGATTAATAAATTTGTAATAAATTTTAATATTGGATTCAACACAATCCTATTTATAAAATTAATTTTTTAAAAATTATTTTTTAAAAAAATATTGAATAATTTATATAATGCAGGTAACAGTTAAAATTTAATTTAATTAATCAAATTTTAATAATTTGTCAATATTAGTCGATTATCATAACACATGAACTATCCACACATAAGAAAAACAACAGAACTAAATAAAATTATACAAGAATCAATATCACACACTATAAATATCCATAACAAACTGTCACAGATGAATGTTATTCTATGCAATATCATACGATCAACTTTGACCACTTACAATTCGAAAATAATTGCGATCTCGACATTTTCGTAGAAAGATTTTCAATACTATTTTACTTTCAGAATACGTTATTAAAGTATTGTACACTGATTGTAAGATATACCTTGTATAGTTACACAGTTCGCACCTTTCTAATTAATACGAATAATGCAATATTAACGAATGTGTACACCAGACGGAATCGATTCTTTTTTTTTATTATTATAATCTCTATTATTATAAATGAAAAAGATACAAATATCGCTATTACTTGCCGTTACTGCACAATCATTATTTTATTCCCATTTGTCTCAATAATTCTCATATCGTGTCTTTATCTTGATCATTCTTGTCGACTTCTCTGACAAAGATTTGTATAACTCATATCTATCATATATTAGAATATACGATTCTGTTTATTGTTGCAATAGAAATCATTACATCATTTCTCTGCACGCACCATATGCTTTGAGCGAATGTCTATTTTTCGAGTAAACTGTAAAAAAGCTGCAACACTTTTAATTTAATAACGTCATTAATACTTTTCCAAAAGCTTTGTGGTATAATAAAGATTAAGATTCGTTAATCTAATGGAGTCTTAATCGTTTTGAAACAAATTTTATCCATTTTCTTTTTAATACATTTAGAAATGCACTAATATGCCAAATGATGATCCGTAACATCTTTAAATATGTCTTTTCAACAAACTTCAAGATAATAATTATATATATAATTATAAAAAAAACTATAAAGCTTTCAAATATATAATTTTTATAAATTAAATTATTTAATCATTAATTATGGCATCCAATCGCCAATATAAATTAGTAAACAAATGAAAAACAAAAAATATAATGCATTAATTTGAGAAATATGATATTCTCGTAAATCATAATTCGAAATTCTGATAATAAAACATAAATCTCAATTGTTGTCAATCTTACGAAAAATAAGAAGAGGTCTGCATCGCTTTACGAGAATCTAGTCAAATGTGCGAATACAGAGAGAGAAATAAAAGTAATATGCAGGTACAAAAATAAAAAAAGAGCAGAAGTATTTAGTTACTACGTTTCATACTGTGGCATATTCGATTTTTTGTAACGATACTGAAAAATAATGTGAATTACTTATATGACTCTCTATTGGAAATCAAGATTATATAATTTCAATATAATACGTATATGACACACATGTAAAATGCGTATGTTTTTTTAAATCAGGAATAATAGAAATCAATTCCAGTCAAAAAGATGTGTTCAAATCAAATGTATGCAAGTGCAACAATTACAATTCTCATCCAAGATTGTTGTGAATATACCGAAAATAAGAACGCTATAAATTTGTATATAAAAATTTACGTTTTCACACCTATATCTATATTCTCGTATTTTTAAGCGACACGCTATCACAAGGATGCGTTCTTTCCATATTAATTAAATAACGAGAGAAAAAGAAAAGAGAATATAAA